CGCCTGGGCAACATGGTGAAACCCTGTCTCTACTGAAAATACAAAAATTAGCCGGTCGTGGTGGCAGGCTTTTGTAGTCCCAGCTACTCGGGAGGCTGAGGCAGGAGAATCGCTTGAACCCAGGAGGCAGAGGTTGCAGTGAGCCGAGATTGCGCCACTGCACTCCAGCCTGGTGACAGAGTGAGACTCCATCTCAAAAAAAAAAAAAAAAGATGGGAGGAAGGGTGGAAATGTAAGACAAGATGGAAGACTAGAGGAGAGACTTGAAGGGTGATAGATTGAGGGTTGGCCCATCAACCCCAGTTGCTTATTTGTGATCACTGTATTGGCTGGCTGAGAACAGAGGCCTGAAGTTCTTATTCAAGTAGGTGTGGAGAGCAGTGGGCCCCCACAGGGAGGACTCAGTACCGGAAAGGCCTGGGGACTGAGGCTGCTGGAGGAGCCTCTGGGAAGGGGCCCTCCTTGAATAAAACATCTAGATGGCCTCTAGGTTTCTCCTGTGTCCAAGCCACCTGCCAAGCAGGGAGGCAGCCCAGTAGGAGGCTGGGGCGACTGGGGGCAGAGCTTGCTTCTAACGGCAGAAGCCTGTAGGAAACGTGCAGATCCACTTTCCAAAGGTCATGTTTTCCTTCTTAGGAGACAGAGTTGTTTTCGCCTCTCACTTTCTTTTTTTTTTTTTTTTTTGAGACAGAGTCTCGCTCTGTCCCCCAGGCTGGAGTGCAGTGGCACGATCTCGGCTCACTGCAAGCTCTGTCTCCTGGGTTCAGGCCATTCTCCTGCCTCAGCCTCCCGAGTAGCTGGGACTATAGGCGCCCGCCACCGCACCTGGCTAATTTTTTGTATTTTTAGTAGAGACGGGGTTTCACTGTGGTCTTGATCTCCTGACCTTGTGATCCGCCCTCCTCGGCCGCCCAAAGTGCTGGGATTACAGGCGTGAGCCACCGCGCCCGGCCTCGCCTCTCACTTTCAACGCTCTGAAGGTGCCCAAAGCAGGATGGCTACCTCCCAGCAACGTTCAGGGGACTGCCCTGTCCTCCTACCTCCATCCCAGTCATCCAAGCACAGAGCCAGCCCTGGGCCAAGCTAGGGGAAGCACCCGAGCCTTCTCCCACGGGGCCAGCCCTGGAAGACACAGATGGGCCTCAGGAGCAGATAGAGGTACCCAGGTGTCCAGCTGGCCCTTCTTTATCCTCTTTACCTGGGATGTGGGAAAGGACATAGAACCTTTGTTCCTGTGGAAGGTCATCTAGAAGGGCTCTTGTCCCCAGAGGCCAGGTTGCTGTCCCAGCCCTCCGTGAAAGGGCAATGGCCCAACGCCGAGGCTGGGGCCTGAGGGAAGGAGCACACCAATGACAGCTTCCCTAGAGGAACTCATCCCCGCACCTACACACAGCAGATCCCACAGACACAAGACAGCCGTGTGCAGGCTCATAAACCCCCGCAGGCCCCACACACACGCTCATGAGCACACATGCAGGCGCAGCTCCTGCTGAATGAGGCTGAGGCCTCCTCAGTGCTGCTGCTGCTCCCCTGATCTCAAACCTCAAATGGCCTCTGGGGACAGCTCTGCCTGGCAGGCACTGGGTTGGAGGCACGGCCGTGGGCCCTGTGACTACACCCCCAGCCCCACCTCAGGTCTGTGGGATAGAGGACAGAAGCCCCAGCCTCACGGCTGAGTGTCAGCTGGGTCAACAGGCAATGTCAGCAGCTCGGCTCAGCTAGCAAGCATGTCCCAGGTGTCCTTAGTGCCTGCCTGGGGCCTCTGATGTCTGAGGAGGAACCATCTGGCTGTCGAGGGAACAGGAGATCCTCCATGCTCCAAACCCTGGTCACCCTCCCCAGTTCCTCCCGGGGGACCAACTGGCCTTGGGAAAGTCACTTGTTTCTTGGCACCCTCTTTCTGCTGGCAACTGGGCCTGAGCTGTCCGGGTGGGTAGAAGGTAGGAGTGGGGGACTGCAGGCTTCTTGGGCAGGGTTTCCCTGAAATCTTTTGCATTGTGGAACCAGAGCCTCTGAGGGTGAGAGGTGGCGGGACAGGCAATCATCTTTGCCTCTTCCCTCCTGCTGAAGGGGTTTGGGGAAGTTGGAGGGGCTCTCTTAACTACCTTTTAACATTTTTTGTATGCTCACACTGCCCACAAGGGTATGAAGGAGGAAGGAAAGGGGAAAAGAAAAGGAGGGAGGGGGCCAGGCACGGTGGCTCATGCCTGTAATCCCAGCACTTTGGGAGGCCGGGGTGGGCAGATCATGAGGTCAGGAGATCGAGACCATCCTGGCTAACACAGTGAAACCCCATCTCTACTAAAAATGCAAAAAATTAGCCGGGTGCGGTGGCGGGCGCCTGTAGTCCCAGCTACTAGGGAGGCTGAGGCAGGAGAATGGCGTGAACCCGGGAGGCGGAGCTTGCAGTGAGCCGAGATCACGTCACTGCACTCCAGCCTGGGTGACAGAGCAAGACTCCGTCTCAAAAAAAAAAAAGAAAAGAAAAGGAGGGAGGGAGGGAAGGGAAGGAAGGAGCAGGCCATAAACATCAGAGTCATAACTGCAGGGTACTAATGGGGTTCTAGGATGAAATGGGAAGTTTTGGTGGCAAATGACTCTGTGGCCCTCATATCACACCAGGTGGGTGGACCAGTCGCAGGACAAATATGTGAATATCCTATTTAGACATTGGATTGTCTAAATAGGAGAGGGTAGGAACAGCTTGGGAAGACAGTAGTAGTTGATGTATTCAGGGCCCAAGGGCTTGGGAGTTGGGGGCAGGTGCAGAGGAGGAGCTCCAGTTGGGCCAAGTCAGCCCCCAGGTGCGTGTGGGTACAGGACAGGCACTGAGTCAGCAGAGCGGCAGCGGGTGAGGGCACACAGATGAGAGGGGTGCAGACTGACAGAGACCCAGATTACAGGGCTGATGGGGAGGGGGAAGGAAGAAGGGAGGCCAGGCATGCCCAACAGAGCTGGGGACCCCTCAGCCTGCCCTCATTGTCCATCTCTATCTGAGCCCCACAGCCTCCTCCACCCCATTCCAGGGGTAGTGCAAACCAGTCAAGGTTTCTTGGGGTTCCATTCCCAGGGTGAAGGGGAAACAAATGTTTCCCTTTCTTTAATCCAGCTCCTGATCTTTAATCCAGGTTCCAACCAGCCTTGCTTTGACAGGGTTCAGAGAGTACACGTCCCCCAGCCCCCACTGCCCACCACCCTCTCGGCCCTCTCCCTCTCAGCCCTGCAAAACACTGAGGGGGAAGGGGTCTGTCCAATCCCATTAGGCAGAAGGCCCCGGAGGGTGGAGTGCTGACGTGGGCCTTGCTGCTGACGCTGCGGAGGCAGCCCATGACCCCCCTACCCGGCTTGGGGCTCTGGCTTGGGTCTCCTCCAGCTCTGAGAAGGTCAGGAGGAGGCCCTGGCCCGGGAGCAGCCCAGGAGTAGCTCAGAGGCCCAGGCCCATTCCCTGGGGACACTCCAGGGCTGGGCCTGTGTCTCTTCCTGCCCTGTCTCCCCTCTTCCAGCCCCCCATGACTTCCTATACAGGTTTGATGGGCTTTGTTCTTATTTTACAAAGCAGATCTCATGGAAACTTTGCCCTTGAAACCCAACCCTCAGATGGCCGCTCCTGCCTGTGAACCTTGGCTGGCTTCCTCACAGGCTGGGCCCTGGACCTCGGGGTGGGGCACCTGGGGTTGGCCCCGTAGCACCTTCCTCCTGCCCAGGCCCCGGGGGTGACCTGCTTGGGGAGCTTCCTGGCTGGTTTCTGAAACCTCCCCTGCCCCCTGCCCCCTGCCCCTCAGCGCCTGCCATGGGTGAGCAGGATAAGATCTGGGCTCTTCGTTTTTTTAAAAGAATGAGTTACATTTATTGATAGTTTGTCACATGCTTTATAAATGGTCACCGTTTGAAACATGTATTATTACTATTTTGGGGAGGGGGGACTCTTCATTTTACAGAGGACAAGCAAGACAGGCTCAAGGAGGGAAAGGACAGGCTCAAAGTCATCAAGTGTGGGGCTGGAATGCAGTTGCCTTGTCTTCTTTCTTTTTGCATATCTTCCATCTCCAGGGTGAGGAGGGCTGTAGGCACAGGCACCCAAGACAGCTGCGGTCCAGCCCTGGCCCCACCTGTGGTCTCAGTGATGCCCCAGAGGTCCTATCTTCCCCACATAATGAGGCTGCGCCATCCTCCTCAAAGCCAGACCTATTTCATAGGCCCCAGACCCCACCTTCACCCAGGGCCCCCAGAGAACAGAGCTGGAGACACTTCCACTCCTAGCACTGGATGCCTCCTCCCTCCTGTGAAGCTGTAGGTTGTGGGGTGGAGGATACCCCTTTAAGGCAGGCTCAGGGGGCTGTGAACTCCAAGACTCCTGGAAGCCAGTAAGAAGTGGGAAGGTAGGCACACCATTTGGGATTTTTATTTTTCACTGAGCTAGGAGAGGAGATTCCAGCTATGGAATCCAGAGAAAGTTCTACAGGAACAGAACAGAAATTGGCTGGGCCCTGGGCCCAGAGAAGGCCTGGAGCTGCTTACTGTTCAGTGCCAGCTTCATCCTTGGCACTCTGCCTCTCACACAGCATCACTTCGGCTCCCAGAGCCCACAGTGGCAGCCGCTGGAGGCTGTGGTGGTAGCTGCTGCCCTGCCCAAGGAGGGGTGTGGGCTTGGCTCTGAAAGTCTAAACCAGAAAGAGCCTTAGAAATCATTCAGCCATTCCCATTTTACAGGTGATGAAACAAGGCTCAGAGAGAGCAGGGGCTTTCAAGAACAATAAAGGTAGAGACTAGAACTCAGGCCTCCTGTCTGCCCAGGGTATCTGCCCAAGCGCTCTCTGAGAGTATCTCAGTGTTGGTGTCTAGAGGGGCTGGACGCGCAAGGGAGCTGGCCTGTGTGTGCATGTCTATGTGTGCCGGGATGCATCTGTGGCTTCTGTCTCTGAACGTGCTAGGGGTTTTGTGTGCTGTGTGTGTCTTTCTGTGGGTGCTCCTGTGTGCAGGAACTTGGGGCCACGGCCAGAGAGGGATGGGCATATTCCTGCAATCTTGGGAGGCCTCCACAGGCTGAGCTGGCGGGGAGGGTCCTGAAGGGTAAGGTGAAGATGGGGGCTTTGCTCCCAGCAGAGAGGAAAAAAACAGAAGATAGGGTTGGGGCATGGATGGGAAAGGTCTTGGAACTAGGATGGGGCAAGGAAAACAAAGCCCCAAATGGAGTATGGGTCTCTGGAAGTTGACACACACTCAGCCCTCATGGAGGCCCAGCCCAGTGGGTAACCCCAGGGAAGTGGTCACATTACGTGACACTTCTCAGCTGATTGCTTGAGGTCCCCCAGTGTGGCCTGGGCCTTGTCCTTGAGTGAGCCCAGGTCCAAGCCAGGAAGGCTGGCCAGCTGCCCAAGGACTGAGGCCTTCTCCTCCTCCTCCTCTGTGTCCTCCTCGATCATCTTGGCCAACTCCCGGGGCAGCTCCACGTCTCCACCTGCCATCTGGATCTGGCTCTCATCTGTCTCGTTCTGAAGGGAAGAGAGGGTGGGGTGGAGTGGAAGTCTGTGAGAACCCAGAGTTGAGAGGACAGGGAGGAGGCTTGGTCTGGGTTCCAGGCCCCTAGATTCTCTCTCTTTTTTTTTTTGGTAGAGATGAGGTCTCCCTATGTTGCCCACACTGGTCTCAAACTCCTGGGCTCAAGTGATATGCCCACCTTGGCCTCCCAAAGTGCTGGGAATACAGGAGTGAGCCACCGTGCCCGGCCCCCTAGATTCTTGAGCCCCCACATCCCAGGATCAAGCATTGGATGCTTGGACATGGAGACCTTTCATATTACCTTATTTCACTCTGAGATACTGAAGGACCAGCACAGCGAGTAAAGACAAAATGAAAATACTTATGAGTCACACTGTTACAGTCAGCTAAGTCATGTTTTGACTCTTGTTATGCTTAAGGGTGTAACCAAAAATAGTGATGGGTACCATTTATCAAACATCTATTACATCTATTACATGGCAGATGTTGAGCTGGGTGCCTTTACTTCTCACAGTGACCCTGTCAGGTAGGTAGGTATTGTTACTCCCACTTCACAAATAAGGAAATTGAGGCTTACAGGATTTAGGTAACTTACTTTAAATTCAAGTTACTTAACTAACTTAAGTAACTTAAATTGTCCAAGGTTACACAGGTAGGATGTTGGGGAGCTAGATTCAAACCTATGTCACTGATTCCAACATCTGTGTTTTTTGGCATGGCACCTACAATGGCCATTGCCCTTCACTGTTCTTCTGGGGGGCGCCTCATGTCCTACTCAGTTGCATCCAAGTCTTGGTTCTTCTGCTCAACTCTGACTTCCCTGATGGCAGGTGTCTCTTATATGCCTAGCACAAGTATCTGAGGAATGACTTTATTTCCAGGAGAGTTTGCAGTGAGGCAGGCTTTCTGGACCGGTTTTTCCCCGTGAGAAATTTCCAAAAAATTGGTGGCCTGTGGGCAGTCAGAAGCAGCTGGGGACTTAGTAAATATTTGTTGAATAAGTGAATGTGATGTTCATATATTTGGTCATTCAATTCAAGTGGAAGATCAAAATCAGGAGCACTATAGCCCTGTGCTATTTTCCCGAGTCCAGCACAGTTCTGGGTGCACTAGGGCGATATTCTGGGAGAGATTTGTGCTTCAGTCCCCTCCTTAGACAACAGGAGCAGCACACTTACATGCCCATCTGGCGCTGCACTGCTCAGGGGAGCATGGGGGCAGGGATCTCCTGAGACATACTCTCTGGCTGCTTGGCCAGCCAAGGGGATACTTGGCTCTCTACAGGCAGACTCCATACCCTGGAAAGCAGCCTGGGGCCCTGGAGCAAAGGCAGGCTCATATTCACCGGCTTGAGGGCTGGTCCCAGCTCCATGGCTCACTGGCTGTATGATCTTAGCCAAGTCCCTCCATCTCTCTGAGCCTCAGTTTCATCATTTGTGGCTGTGGGTGATAGCTGCCTGGCAGCATTATTGGGGGTTAGATGAGGACATGAAGGTCAAGTACTTGGCACACACAGGGCTTCTCTCCCCCACCTTAAGTAAGTTCTGCCCTCCAGTAGGTTCAGAAACCCCCAGAGCACTCACTTCTGCAGTCAAATCTGCTTTCTGCCTCCCCTGTGTCTTCCTCTGCCCAGGCCTGGCCTAGGCTTGGTGGGGGTACTGGGGGGTGGAGGAGAGAAGAGGCCTAGATTGGCTCCAGAAATACAGACCTGTCAGTTTCATGAGAACTGGGGTCCCCTCAGCACAAAGCCCTGGCCCTTGGTGGGCACAGATTAACTATGAGTGAGTGAATGAATAAATGAACAAATGAATGAGAAGGAAGGATCTAACCAAGCACCCTGTGAGTCTTATAACTGCGGGCTGTGGTGCCCAGAATGGGACGAAGGAGTTGAGAACCCAGAGCTCAGGGTCCCAGATGTGCCTTGCAGCCGGGGCCAGCTTACCTTGGGTAGCCGGTATTTGTCTCGGAAGTGGCTCCGCAGTGTGGCCCGCTCTGCCTTCCTCTGTGTGAACTGTGCATCCCGCTCCATCCTGCAGGGTCACCAGGGGCAGAGTCACCATGAGGGCAGAGAGAAGGGAGTTGGAGTCTTCGAGGGAGGGACAGAAGGGGTCTCTGAGTCCTGGCAGCACTGCTGTATTGGTCCCTGTGTGTAGCAAAGGCACTCCAACCAGGACAGCCAGGTCTCTGCTGCCTCTCCCCATCACAGTGCCCTTTGTTGTCTCTGCTGCTGGATGGAACTAGGGGCCAAGGTGGCAGTCTGTCTAGCTCTCTCTGCAGACCCTAATTATTTGTCCCTCATGGCCTCCAACTTGGTCTGTTGTTCCCTCACTGAGAAGCTATGTCGTGTAGGGAAAAGTATTCAGGACAAACTTGGGTTCACACCCCAGCTCCACTACCATTTTAGGTATATCCTTAGGTAAGTCACTTACCTTCCTCTTCTGTAAAATGGGGATAAAGTTTTGCAACTCACAAAACTGGTATCAGGATTAAGCGAAATAATAGCTATCATTTATGAGACTTTATCATATGCCAGGTGCTGCTAAACAGTTTACATGCGTTGGCATTTAATCTTCATAAATATACAAGACACGTATTATGATTACCATCCCCACTTTCCAGAAAAGGAAACAGAGGCACAGAAAGGTTAAGTAACTTGCCTAAAGTTACCCAGCTAATAGGCAAAGCCAGGCTCTGAACCCAAGTAGCCTAGCAGCAGAATCCAGCCCCAAACTCTGTCCCAGCACTGCAGGCACACAAGTAGGCTCAATGTCTGTGAGTGCCCCCATCTCAGGGTCTGCCTCCGCGACTCTGAGCCTCCTCGGCTGCACCACTTTTTTCAGAGCCTCAAGCTCAGAGGAGCCCCAGTTGGAAGACACAGGCAGCTGGGACCAGATCGGATTAAGGGATTATTGTTTCGTCAGAAACGCACGTGCATCCCCCTCCTCGTCCCAGACTCCGGTCGCCCCTTCCCCCGCTCCCCCTTGACCAGAGTATGAAGCTGGAGCGGGGTTTGGGGTTTGAGATGGGATGGGTCTGGGGGCAGTGTAGAGGACACCTCCCGGTCTCTTACCGTGTCTAGGAAGGTAGGGGAGAGGGGATTGGTACCTGAGGCTGGCCCGGGGATGGACTGAGCAGCTGTGGGGTTGGGGAGGGGGAGGTCGTTGGAGCCAAGAAGGGATCCCACTCACTTCTCTTCCACCAGTTGCTTCTGATACTCCTCGTACTCCTCCCGGCTCATGCCCTGAGCTTCGGCTGCCGACTTGTCCCCATCCCCCTTGTCCTCGCCGCCTCCCAGGCTCCCAGTGAGGTTCTTCAGCTGGCCGCCCACCATGGTCTTCACCATAAACGCCATGGTCTTCGCCGGCTGGGGCACTGGGCGCCTGCTACCACGCGCTAGGCACCGGGCACGTCCGCGCCTACTTCAGCACTAGGTCTTGCGGACAGCTCCCGCCGCGGGCCCGCGCCCCACGCTTGGCGCCGCCCGCCGCCCGCCCCCGCCCGGGCCCGCCCCCACCTCCCCAAACCCCTCCTCACGGGGGGCGGGGGGCAGCACGGGGCTGAGAAGGCTGGACCACGTGCCTGCTCCCCACTCCCGCCTCCCCCACGTGCCTCCTTCAACGCCGAGCTCCGCTGGGCACTGCTGACAGCGGATTAGGGCCTGCGGTGGTGGGGTCGCTCTCCCGGGAGAGGGGTTGAGCTGATACACTCCTGGAACCCTGTTCCCTAGCGTCTTCCAACTTTCTCCTCTCCTGGGCCACTAATAACTGGAATTTCAGCTGGGAGATCCAGGTAGCAGCAAGGGGTAAAAACCCAGCCTTGGGCGCCCCTCATTCTCCCCACCCACCCAACTCACTGAACCCAGCAGCTGCCCAAAGAGCTTGACGCTGGAAAAGGGAGGGAGACCTGAGGGCGCGAGCGGGAATCCCAGTTATGGTTCCGCGAGTTGGCCTCTCAGGGTTGCTCTGTCACGCGCCTCCCCTGCTGCCCCTGGAGCAGTTAGGAGTGGGGAGGGAGAGAGCTGCTCAGTGATGCTGGCTGAGCTGGAGGGACTCAGGACGGACACTGCTCTCTGTTCTGGGTGAATTTGAGGACAGAATTATATACAGTCATGGCTCTCTTTTCCTCCATAATCGAGGGTTCAAAGCCCGTGGGGTATCTGGTCTTTTGGAGGTTAAGCCAGGCCTTGGCCTCCTTGCCTGCTTGGAGCGCGCTCCTAGCCAGCTACTCAGAAGGGGTGGAAGCCTTCACAGAGATTAGGGTGAGGCTGGAAAGAAGACCAGCATATCACAGCATGGGGAGAGGGAAATCACCTTTAATAAGATGGGAGTGTGCTGAAAGCTCAGGTGTGGGTGGGAGCTGGGCACCCAGACGAAGAGGATGCTGATCAAGCACCCACCCCAGACACTGCCTGCTTCCCAGTGATGCAAAGCAGGCTCTGAGGTGGGTCAGGCAGGCATGCTGGCAGGGAGAGGCTGCCTCCTGAGAATCCCCGGGGCCCTGGGGGTGTGTGGTGCAGGACCCAGAGGAAGGCTGCCTGTGGACAGACACTCCTGCAGGCTCTCGTTCAGCTCCTGCCTGCTGCGAGAGAAAAGGTTACAGGCTACTTGCATCTCTCCTTTATGGGCTTTTGAAAAACCAAGACTCTCGTGCTTGTCTTGCTACACTCACTGCACCACAGCCTCCCCTGTTCTTGGACTTTCTGCGGCTCTTTGGCCTGCTGCATATGGTCCACGCTTTCCCCCCGGGCATGTAAGGTCTGTCCTAGTGGCTCCAGGCTGATTGCCACCACTGCACTCCTGTGCATGTGCTGAACCCTGTGAGCATTTCCACCTTGTGCTTTTTAAAGCTTAGCTCATTTTACTCCTCCTCCAGGACCATCCCAGCCCACACGGACTCTTCTTGTCTTGAAATTCCACCAACAAAGATTGTCAGTCTCATTGCTGAGGCCCTTAGCACACCCCACATCTCTAAATGGTGCACGTTCATTCAGCAAACACACACCAGGCAAAACTAGTGACCTCCTCTCACTTTTTCAGATCTCTGCCCAATTTCACAAAGGTCCTGCCCTTTGCTCCAACACTACTGAACTTGCCACTTTGTCTCTAAAATATTATGTTTTTCTCATACCTCCCTGCCTTTTCTCATGCTGTTCCCTCTGCCTCTATGCCTTTACCTATCTTGTCAGGGTGGAAAACTCCTAGTCACCTTAATGACCATATCAAATGTCCCTTCCAGGTTGATTCCCTAACCAAGGGGGGTCAAGTGTGTTCTGCATTCTTGTAGCCCCTCAGCTTCCTAACATCATGGCATTGACTACACAGGGTCAGTTAGACCTGTGTGAGTGAGCTCCATGAGAGCAGGACCCAGATGGGGCTAGGGGATGAGCAGGTGGTCAGTGGTGCTTGGTGAGAGAATGGGCCCTATCCTGCACTGTGCTCTTTGTGATTTGGGGACTGGGCAGGTCCCCTCTGGGCTGAAGTGTCCCCTCTCCTAAATCCAATGGCTATAGCTGAGAACCAGGAGATGCCAGTGCTGTGGGAAGTCCTACTCACGGGGTGGCCCACCTGAAGTGCACGTAGCTGAAGAAGCCTACAGTCTGAATGAGGAGGAAGAACAGGAAGATGCCAGGATGCAGGCACGAGGAGGCCCTTGGGGGCTGGCCAGGTGGGCGGGGGGCCTTGGCCGCTGCCTTCTGAAAGGGGAAAGTCTAAGGTCCTAGCTTAGTTTCTTACTCAAAAGGAGGGGGAGGACCTGGAATCTAGGCCATGTGCATGCTCCGTTTCCTTTCCCCAGGCTTGGGGTGTCCTGGGTCTCATCCAGGGAACTTGGAGAGGGGGCAGTGTACAAAGCTGCCTCCCCCACCCCAGCTCCCATGGCTGCATTTGTGGGAACAGCTGGGAAGGCCTGGGATCATCAAGGGGCCCAGGGCTCAAGAGAAGAGAAAGAGAGAAGTAGAGAGCCAAAGACAGGGTAAGCAGGGTGAGAGCGAGGGAACGAGGATGGGACAGGGCATGGGGAAGATCCGATTCCACCACTGGACTCAATGATCTTGGACACGGCCCACCCCATTTGGATTGAGGGGTGTCCAGGGCCCTGCTGGTGCTGAGTCTGTGGGACTCTCCAGAGAGCAGAGAGGGCAGAGAGAAGATGAGATGCGTGCTGGCATGTATGCATGCACATACAGACACTGACACAGGCACAGATGTTCTTGCCAGCAGTCCTGGGAGGGGAGGGCAAAGGCAGGATGGCTTGGGGCTGCCAAAGTGCTAGAAGAAGGGTGACTGAGCCCAGACATCAGGGTTGGGGACCCCATGCTCCCCACTACTTCCCCCTCACCGCCGGGCCCTGAAGCTCCTTCTGCAGGAGGCCCAGGATGTGGTCCAGCTCTAAGAAATGATGCTCAGTGCCCACAGGCAGGTAGGAGACCTGGGCTTCTGCGGCCATGCGGACAGCTGCATCCCTAATCGGGGGTGGAAACCAAGTAAGATGACTCATTACCTCTTTTGCTTCCACGCAAATGGCCTAATCATTTCCCATCTCCCCAGGGGCAGCACATGGGTGAGGAACAGGTACCATCCATGGGGCCCCTTCTTGGGGACTGGTCTTTTCTCCTCCAACCTTCTTCCTAGATCCTGAGACTTTAGCTCAGATAAAGATCTCCCTAAAGCTATCTGTGTCAACCCCAGGCTCCCCGGCTCTGCCTTCCATCCTGGATTTAACTCCTTTCCTTCTTCTCATCTAGGTGCCTCTCCACCCCCAACCCTAGCCATCTAGCTCTGTGTGTACAGGGGGGCTTTAGGCTTCAGGTTGGGACGCATGCCTCCTCTACGGCATCCCCAGAACTCCCCCAACCCCCAGGGCTCCAGAGATCCAGCCTAGAGTGGGATAACAGGAAGCTAATGCGGGCACAAAACCAAGTCAGGGACTGCCTCCTCCAGCTGGTCTGGTCTTGGCTGTGCTCCCTCTCCAAGAGCCCCCATCAAAATGCCCCTCATCCCAGGAGCTGCCACTGAAGGAACACTCAGATTTCTTAACCCTCCTGAGGGTGGGAGTGTCTGAGGCGGCCTTCATGATGGGCTTCTCCTGGAGAGAATTGCTTTTCAACAAGGACTTGCAAAACATTAAACTTGATTCAGTTAAATTCAAGTCAACTCAACAAACCTAACTCCACCCCCAGCCCTTCCAATTGACAGGCTGTGTGCTGGGCACTCAGGAAATGATGGAAAGAATGAAGGGCTAATGGAGGAACTTCAGGCAGAGAAACAAGGTAGTGGAGGGGTCCCCACCGAGTCCCTTACCTCATCTCTTGCAGGGCCTGGAGCAGAGTCCTCTGTCCATGGAGCAGGGCATCGACCTTAGCAGAGTCCTGCCGGAGGGCCAGCCTCTTGTCTAGGGCCCAGGACACAGCCCCTCTCTTGTCAGAGCCCACCTTCCCAGGTTCACTGCAGCCTCTTCCTTCCAGAGGCCTTCCCAGATTGCCAGGCCTTCCTTATTTGGACACACTGTGTTTCTCTGACCTCATCCACAGGGGCTTCCCGCATTCCCCCTCCACTCACACCCCTCTCCCCAGGGGTGGTGGTTTCCTCCCAACAGTGGCCACTTCAGGGTTTTCTCAAAATACCTCTCCCTTCTTATTTATTTGAGATGGAGTCTTGCTCTGTCGCCAGGCTGGAGTGCGGTGGCACAATCTCAGCTCACTGCTACCTCCGCCTCCCAGGTTCAAGCGATTCTTTGGCCTCAGCCTCCCAAGTAACTGGGACTACAGACGCATGCCACCATGCCCAGCTAATTTTTGTATAATTTTTGTATTTTTAGTAGAGACAGAGTTTCACCATGTTGGCCAGGATGGTCTCGATCTCTTGACCTCGTGATCCGCCCGCCTTGGCCTCCCAAAGTGCTAGGATTACAAGCGTGAGTCACCACGCCAGGCCAAAATACCTCTCCCTTCTAAAAGTGGTTCTGTCACCTGAAGGAGGCAGAGGCCCAGCCCAGTCCTCTCTTTCCTGGTTCGCCCAGGGCACTATCCAAGCTGGGGCCAGTGCTGGTCAACACCCAGTGTTTGGGTCCCTGCCTTACTGAGTGGTGTCCAGGGCCTGAGGGTAGGATCAGAGAGGCCTGGCCCTGGAGTGTGAGTCCCCTCCCCTTTTCCCCACACTAGCAGCCCAGCCTAAGCTGCTCTGACACAAGATTAAAACCTCGAGCTGTCAGAGTCCAGCAAAGCCCGCAAGAGCTGCTGGCCTCCTCTGCCCAGTATCTAACACCTTGGCTGAGTTTAGCTCTCAGGCCCCCAGGCTGGGCATGACCCGAGGCATGACTCCCTGGGGGAGGAGCCAGATGGCAATGGAGATGAAATGAGGCTTCTGGTGCAACTGAGCATTAAGCAAGCCGTATGCAAATTGCATGTGAAGCTACATGCAAATTAGCACCTAGTCTATTTCTGTCATTCATCTACAGAGCCGAGTCCAAATATCTGGCATCTCCTCTCCCCAGCCCCAGCCTCAGCCCCAGCCCCGTGCGCATTTGGTTGTGCAGAGATGCCATCCCGCATTCTGCCGTACCCCATCCTGTGACCTGCAGCATTTCATCCCTGCCCTCCTTTCCCTCCAGGCCTTAGGGAGACCAGTTGCTTACTACAGTGCTTGCTCCTCTTTCAGGCCCGCAGGTGGAGCCTTGGATGCCTGTGGGGCTACTCACCCAGCCTCCATCAGGCCTGGCTTGGCCTGGGGGCCCCAGCTGCTTCTTCCATTGCCTCTCAGCCTGGGCCAGCTGCTCGGAGAGACCCCGCAGAGCCTGAAGGATCTGGCTGTGTCTGCCCAGCGTCTCCTCCAGGTCAAAGAGCCTTTCCCCTGGGGATTAGGGCAGAGCTGGGATGGGCAGCCAGCCATGGTGGCATAACACAGCCTATCTTATCTTTGGGGGGGCTTCTTGGAGGAGGTGCCAGAAGGTGTGGCTGCTGTCTCTAAGACCCTCTCCTGGAAAATGAGTCTGAGTGGTAAGGTGGAGATAGGACAGAACAGTTGGGCCCAGGGCCTGCTTAGATATGGCCTCCTCAGGCCTCAGTTTCCCTTCTGATTAAAGGACTCCTGGTCATAAGGGTGGAGGATGCTGTGACACTCAGATGGGCGCCACCTGCCTGCTCTCTCAGTCCCTACCTTCTCCTTGAGCTTCAGAGCCTGACTTTGGAGTTACATCCTCCCTGGTGCCCAGGCCCAGCCTTGCCCGCAGCCCTTCCAGCTGCCTCGCCAGACGGAGCTGCTCCATCTCCAGGAAGGGCTGAGGGGGAACCTGGGGGAGGAAGACAGAAAGTCGGGCCCCAAACCCATGGGACATCCAGAGGCGAGGGGAGCCTTCCCACAGGCTTCCCCACGAGCCCAGTCTCCCTCCCTGGCCATCTGGCCCTGCGGTTTCCAGCCCTCTGAGTTCTGCCTTCACACAGATCCCCACCCTCTTCCCTCCCTGCTGTGGCCTCTCAGGCCTGTATGTGCTGATCCGCGGCTCCTTTAAGCTCATCTCCTCCAGGCAGCCTTCCTTGAGCCCCTGGCTTGTTGGGACCCCTCCTCTGTGCTCCCACAGCCCCCTGTGCCTTTTGAGACCTGGCACTGATCACTCTGAACTGTAATGTCACAGCCTGAGCCAGCCAGCCTGTGAGGCCTTGCAGACCGGGCCTGGCCCACAGCACTGCCCAGCACAAGGTCTGGCCTGAGCAGAGCTCAGAGGCCAGGTGGAGGTAAGGGCTGGAATGGCAGGTCTGAGGGCACCATGACATGGGCAAGGGCAGGGTCCCTGGGCTGCCATTCCCAGGTAGGCCAGGGCTGGCATCACCTCTGGGCTGGGCTCACTCAGGCTGAAAGTCAGGAAGGACAGGACATCATGATCATCTGGAAGGGGACAGATGAAGGAGAAGTAAGACCCCTCCACCCAGCAGCCCCCTTGCTCAGCCTCCACCTTCACTGCCATGATATCCCACTGAGGCAAGAGGGGTGACTTTGGGCCATCACCTGATGCTTGTCTTGCTCACTTCATAGGAAAGATGTGAGGGTTGACAGGTAGATGGGTGGGTGGTGAGGGCTGAACCTCACACTCAGTCAGAGGCAGGCCCCTGTGAGTGGCAGAACTGGATGATCCCAAAACATCCTGGGCTACAGCCATGGCAGCAAACCAAGTGACACCCTCAGGCCCCCAGAGCACAGTGGCTACTGGTAGTAGCAACTGCGCGGTGGCCACCTCTCCAGCATAGCTCTGACCATATCTCACTCATCCTCAGAAACCAGACTAAGGTCCTGGCATTCAAGGACTCCCACGCTCTGGTTTCCCTCGGCTTTCCCACTGTGGGATCCTCTGTGGACTCTCCATGGCATCACATCTCTTTGCTCCATTTTCCTAAATGTCCCTCCTTGCTGTCTGTCTTCCACTTGTCCCACAGCTCCCAGCTAGGGGCACTTATGGGGACAGCACTGAAATCAAAGTTTCTCTTGTTTTATCCCATTTGAGACTTGCAAGTCTCAAGGCAGACGTGACTTCTCCCAAGGGGCGTGGAGGCCCAGGTCATGTGGTGAAGTGGCTGATGCCACCCCAGTGCGCTTTAGAAGGTGTGCTCAGGGTGATTCATTCATCACTGCCCTTCTGCTCTTACCTGACCAGTGGGATCCTCACCTGCCAGGATGCCGGTGGCTGCTGAGACCCCAAAGAAACCTCCAGGGACCAAAAGCAGGGGCCCCACATCCACACAGAACTCATCTGGATCACTGGGAGTGAGGCCGCTGTTCAAGGACACCTGAGGGACACAGAGGGAGTGAGCGGTAGGGGGTTGTCCCTACCTCTGACTCCCTGGCTCCACTGGCCATAGGAGGGCAGGTGGCCCTAGGGCTTGGTATCAGAATGGCATGGAGGTGACCAGCACTCCTGGTCTCATGTGAGCCCTTACATGTATGTGCTCTGGGTGAGTGTTAGGATTCTGTGTAGGGATCCCCTGTGGATGTTGGCCCGTGTGTGCTAGGGGCCTCACGTGGTGTCACAGGCACTGGTATGTTGGGGCCATGGGCACGCACACACAGCAGCTCTGTAACTCAGAGTCCTATCAGAAGCAGGAAGTGACTCACGCGCAGCCTCTGCCCCCAGTAGGTGATCCGTGCTCTGAAGGGGTGTGGCCGGTTCCGGAAGTCCCAATGACAGGAGCCCAGCACTTGGCTGGCTCCATACCTGTGGGCAGTTTGTTCATTTGTTTTTGAGAAAGAGTCACACTCCGTTGCCCAGGCTGGGGTGCAGTGGTACAGTTGTGGCTCATTGCAACCTCTGCCTGCTGGGCTTAAGTGATCCTCCCACCTCAGCCTCCCAAGTAGCTGAGACTACAGGCATGCACCACCACACCTGGCTCATTTTTGTATTTTTAGTAGAGATGGGGTTTCACATTTTTGGTCAGGCTGGTCTCGAACTCCTGACCTCAAGTGATCCACCCATCTTGGCTCCCAAAGTGCTGGGATTGTAGGAGTGAGCCAACACGCCTGGCCTTTGTGGGCAGTTGGAATCCAGTTGAGGATATACAGGACTCAAGGCCTGGCCAGTAAGGGCAGTCCCAGAAGCCACTCTGCCCAGATCTGCTGTGCCACCTCCCTTTCCGCTGGGTGAGCTGGCATGGGATAGGTACCTTGTCTAGCTTGAGTCTCCCTTCTTGTAGCCTGCTCCCTTGGCAGAAGAGAGAGGGGCAGGGGAAGCAAGCCCTGCCTGGCAGAGTGTTGGGACTTGGATTTACAGAAGGGACCAGGGGCCTCCCTGTGGCCCGTCCTCAAGGGGACAAAGGCCTGGACTAACAATGCAGTTTCTGCCCTCCATCCCTCCGACCCACCTATCACCCTCGTCCTATCACCCGTCCCTCCCTCCTTCTTCTCTCTCTCTCTCTCTCTCTTTTTTTTTTCTGAGATGGAGTCTTGCTCTGTTGCTCAGGCTGGAGTGCAGTGGCACAATCTCAGCTCACTGCAACCTTTGCCTCTTGGGTTCAAGTGGTTCTCCTGCCTCAGCCTCCCGAATAGCTGGGATTACAGGTGCTTGCCACCATACTCGGCTAAATTTTTTTTTTGTTTTTAGTAGAGACGGGGTTTCACCATGTTGGCCAGGCTGGTCTCAAACTCCTGACCTCAGGTGATTCGCCCGCCTCAGCCTCCCAAAGTGCTGGGATTATAGGCGTGAAACACTACGCCTGGCCCCTCCCTCCTTCTTCTCTTAAACTCCAAGTCCCCTGTGCCTCTGGCTTCCCCTTCCTCTCCCAGCTGACTCAGGACGGATGACCTGGACATGTCCTGGCAGCCAAGGACAATGTGACCAGGCTGCCTCCCTGACGGGTCGGCATGGCAGGCTCTGGGGAGTCAGGAGAAGAGTGTTAAACGCTGAGTGTCTCTGGACACCTCAGGTACTCACAGCAGAGCGTCTGACAGTGCCGCCTTCCGCCAAGAGGGAGGCAGCACAGGGCAGGGGAGAAGCCAGCACCAGAGCAGCCACCTGGGTTTGTGCCCCGAGCTGTGTGACCTTGGGCAAGCCATCTCATCTCTCCAAACCCCAGTGTTGCCATCTCTAAAATGAGGACGGTAATTGGAACGACCTCATAACAATGTTATGAGGGTTAACTAAGACAGTAAATGAGAAGGACGTGGTGCTGGGCCTGGCATATAGTCAGCTCACTCCGTAAATGCAGGCAATTACTCTAATTGTTATGAGCCGAGAGAAGGTTGCTGAGAGACACTGACAAACCGGCCCAGCTACTGAGGAGGCATCCGGGCGGCTGGGGAGGGACAGAAGCCAAATCATCTGGGAAAGCGAAGGGACAGCTAAGCAGGGAAGAGCGGGGACCCTTCAGGAGTAAGTCTGGGCTCAAAGTTCAGCTCTGCCCACAGCACGTCCCTTCCCCTCTCTGGGGCTCAATGTCCTGACCTGTAAATGGGACGAATAACCCCCACTTATGGAGGGTATTGGAGATGGGATGAGATCATGGGAGTGAAGATACTCATCACAGGCCACAGCCTGTATCATTTCACCTGGGGCTGTTGGGTTGCAGGAATCAAGCCCCATGGGTGTGGGCTTCGCCTGAGTGAGAGTCCAGCAAGGATGGCAGCTCTGGGAGGGTGGGCCCCCTGCTGGAGTAGGCTGGGGCAGGGGCTCGGATGGGGGGGATGGGCCCCTCCCAATGCAAAAATGGAGGTGAGGGGTCGGTCTAGACAGGCCCTTACCCAGGCTGCTCAGAGGGGATGTGCCCATCGCTGGCCAGCACACGGATGGCAGGACTGTTCTGCAGGAAGATGAGAAGCAGCCTGAGCTGCGGCCACGGCGGGAGGGGGAGGGTGTGGGCGGGAGGGGGGCTGGCAGGCAGGAGACAACTACGCACCTGAGTATCCTCTGCCGAGGAGTCAAAGAAGATCCCGATGCCGTCCCATGAGGCCAGCCCCCCGAGGATAGAGCCTACATGGCCCCTGCCCTGGGTGTACCACACGGCCTGTAGGTCGCCAGCCCCTCAGCTCAGGGAACCGTGTGAGATACTGGGACCCCAGGGCTCATCACCTGCCTCCCTGACCCACCCTGCTCTGTCAGCTCTGGGAGAGGACACTCACCATGCCCTGGGCTCCCCGGCGCCCCAATCCCGTCACCCTCATCTGCACCTCTACTTCCCAGGCAGAGAAGAGGACAGAGGCCCTGCTCCACACGGCGCCACTCCGGTTCCTCATGGATGGTGTCAGCCGCACTTCCTCCAGGCCCAGGATGGCGTCTGTGGACCAGGGCAGTTCAAGCCCCAGGCCCCACTATACCCCAGTTCCCCCTTCACTCTCTCTCAACGGCCTGGGCTGGGCTCCCGGAAGAGGAAGAGACAACGCCAAGGCCTGCCATTAAATAACCAGCCAGCCAGGGAAGCAGGAGTCAGAGCCCAGCACAGCTGGAGGGGCCTTTGCCGGGGAGTGCAATGAATGCCAGCACTGTCCGCATCGTCAGTGAAGCCTCGCTGCAGTGTGTGTTGTCTGTTTTTATAAGACCGCATCTAACAGATGAGGAAACTGAGGCTCAGAAAAGTTAAGGAACTAAGTGGATTGGATGGAATTCAGCTCCCTATGACTCCTAAGTGCAAGCTTTTTCCACCACGAGAGAGATTTGTGTCTAACTCTTCCCATTTCTCAGATGAGGAAACTGAGGCCTTGTGACAAAAAAGGAAGTGCCTGAGACCACAGAACACAGGAGAGCACTTTAGGAGAAGTAACTGCAAGGAGGCCCAGGACTCTAGGCTGTGGCCAAATGAGGCTGGAGCTTCCTGGTGGACAGGACCTAGGGGCATTCCAAGGTGAGGAAAGCAGGAAAGCAAAGTTGCGGAGGTGAGAACCGGCCTGCAGAATGGCGATGAAAGAGTGCAGGACGGAGTGTGTGTGTGAGAATTGTCACTGGCGGTGGTGGGGTGGGGAGGAAGGAGCCCTGCATGGCAGGACGGAGGAATGGGAGAGAAACTGAGGCAGTCTTGGCAAGAACTGGGGGCAGGGAACTCAGAGGCCCTACTCCAGCACGCTCCCCACCCTCCAACCTGCCAGCCTGGAACCTGGCCCAGGGCCCAGACTCTGCCAGGACGTTCTGGAGGCTGCTAATCCCGCCTGTTTGCTCTATAGAGCAAAGGCCAGGGATGGGGGTAGGGAGGCTCAGAGCTGCAAGGCCACAAGTCCCAGGGCCTCTGGAAGCTGTCACTGCCTCTGAAATCCTTGCAGGAGGCAAGGATTGCCCACTGTCTACTACACTTTCAGCCTTACGAGGCCTGTGGGTGAGACCTTGCCCCAGACCATGGGCCCCTTCAGCCTGGCTCTACCCTGTGTCTCTGGGCTGGGCACAGAGGAGCATCAGGGTGAACCAATGAATGAATAGACAATGCACACATCACTGGGTGATCTTGGAGAAGGTGCCTCTGTTCCCTTACATGATCTGTGACACCCAGACTTGGCAAGACCCAGAGCAGTGAGCGTTGTATAAGCTTGCCATCCTGGTCTTGAGGCAGGGGCCGGTATGGTGTTGTGAGAAACAGCCCACTTTTTTGTTACCTCCTGTGTCTTTATGAAAGAGGACTGGAAGAAACCCTACTGATAGGGCCTATCATCTTAAAGGGATATATTTTGGGCTGGGCGCAGTGGCTCACGCCTATAATCCCAGCACTTTGGGAGGCCGAGGCGGGCGGATCATCTGAGGTCAGGAGTTCGAGACCAGCCTGGCCAACATGGTGAAACCCCGTCTCTACTGAAAATACAAAAATTAGCTGCGTGTGGTGGCACGCACCTGTAATCCCAGCTACTCAGGAGGCTGAGGCAGGATAATCACTTGAATCTGGGAGGTGGAGGTTGCAGTGAGCAGAGATCACACCATTGCACTCCAGCCTGGGCAACAAGAGTGAAATTCCATCTCAAAAAATAAAAAAATAAATAAAAAGGGATATTTTTTCCTGGCCTTAGTCAGGAATCATGCCATTTCTCAGAACTAACTTTTTTTTTTTTTTTTTTTTTTTGAGACAGAGTCTGGTTCTGTGGTGCCCAGGCTGGAGTGCAATGGCAGGATCTCGGGTTCAAGCAATTCTCCTGCTGCAGCCTCCCGAGGAGCTGGGACTACAGGTGCGTGTCACCACGCCCAGCTAATTTTTGTATTTTTAGCAGAGACGGGGTTTCACCATTTTGGCCAGGATGGTTTCAATCTCTTGACCTCTTGATCCACCTGCCTCGGCCTCCCAAAGTGCTGGGATTACAGGTGTGAGCCACTGTGCCTAGCCAAGAACTCACATCTTATAGACAGAAATCCACAGCTGATCTGCTTTCTATCTTTGCTTTGCCTGCTAAGAGGCTCAGAATTAAATTTATGGCCTAACTCTGAGGTGGACAGACCTCACAGCCTATGTTTTGGAAGCCATGCTCCTAGACTATTTCATGCTCCACTCTAATCCTCATTGTCCTTGCTCACTCCTAATGTAAGCAAGCTCCCTTCTATCTTGTAGTTCCATCATCACAAATCCTTTTTGGAACAAGATCTGGTAGAAGACACACTCTTTGTAGGTCCAGGTTTGGAAGTCCCTGAACACAAACCTATGGGCTAAGATGCTCTCATGCCTGCTTCCACCCACAACACACATACAGGGAAAGGTTGGTGCCCACTCGCCTGGAATGAGGATGCCTCCCTCCAGGTAGCCCCCAGTTCTCATGGCCAGCCACAGGCCTGCTGGGATGGAGCCAGGAGAGTGGAGTTTTGTGCTGGTCCACATTGCCTTCTGTGTGTCTGGGACTTAGTGTGTGAGCATGTGTCTGTGTGTTCACAGGTCAGAGAGACAGAGGAAGGGCAGGGGTCCAAGGAGAGGCAGAGGAGAAGAGAGAAGTCCTGCCGCAGGGAAGCAGAGAGGTAGAGGAGAAACAGCCTGGGCAGGGGTCGGGGGTGTTGAGGGGGTGGAGCAGGAGACAAGCCTGGGAAGGGTCCTGGGGTGCCTGGCACTGTCCCAGGCCCTACCCCACCCTGGACAGAGGATGGCTGTGACAGACCCACTCCCCACCAAGTCACAGCCCCTCCAGCACTTTGAGGGACCCTGGGCATGGCTGGTCCCCATCCCTGCCCCTCACCTCCATGATGGCTCCAGAAGGGTATTCCAGCCCCAGGCAATGCCAGCCTTGGGCCTTTGAAGCTGAGCTTGTATTCAAACCTGCGCAGAGGAGGACGCGCCGTCTCAGGACTGTGGGGTTCCAGGAGCAGGAGGAGAAGGCAGAACAAGGGACCTGGACCACTGACCACCGGCATTGTGAAGGCGCCTGATGTCTGGGCCCTGGGGTAGATCATAGCTGAGAGGCCGGGGAGAGGATCCTGGGATAGGGCCAGGCAGGGAGGAGCTGGGGACTGGCCAGGAGCTGGGTTTTGGCACTGTCCTCTCTCTCCCTCTCCAGCATAGACATCCTGTTCCTTCCAGGCCTGCTGTCAGGCCCCGCCCCTCCCTCACCTCCAGTCTGACGTAAGCAGCGGGACCCTTCGACAACCCGAGCTCTGCCCCTGCTCCTGACTCAGGCCGTCCTTCTGTCTCCCCTCACATCCAGCAGCTGGATGTGGTGGAGGGAGGGGGGCACCCAGGGTTGGGCTCCACCCTTCAGCAGCCCTGGCCTCCCCTCCCAGTTAGGGAGACAGGCCTCCACATCCTGCCTGTGTCCTCCAGCATGGGTGGCACGTCTATCTGGACACCCATCCTTCTCTCCTCCCTGCCCCCTCTCTTCCTCTCCCTCATTCCCCCAGGCTCATCCTTCCAGGCAGCCTGGTTTCCTCAACAAATGCATTACATGAAAAAAAGAAAGGGAGTCTTTAGAGACAGCACAAAAACGCAACGTGCAGACCTTGTTTGGAGCCAAATTTTAACCCAACTGGGAAAACAAAAAAAAAAGATATTGGGGAAATTTGAACAATGGATATTTTTGAACAATGGATATTTGACTATACTGAAGAATTGTTAACAAATTTTAGGGCCGGACACCATGGCTCATATCTGTAATCCTAGCACTTTGGGAACCCAAGGTGGGTGGATCACCTGAGGTCAGGAGTTCAAGACCAGCCTGGCCAACATGGTGAAACTCCGTCTCTACTAAAAAAAAAAAAAACAAAAAATTAGCCAGGCGTGGTGGTGCATGCCTGTAATCCCAGCTACTTGGGAGGCTGAGGCAGGAGAATCACTTGAACTCGGGAGGCAGAGGTTGCAGTGAGCGGAGATTGCTCCATTGCACTCCAGCCTGGGTGACAAGAGTGAAAATCCATCTCAAAAAAAAAAAAATTAAGGACTAATATGGTATTGTGGTTATGTTTTTTATTTTTTATTGTATTTATTTATTTATTTATTTATTTGAGACTGAATCTCGCACCGTCGCCCAGGCTGGAGTGCAGTGGCGCGATCTGAGCTCACTGCAAGCTCCGCCTCCTGGGTTCACACCATTCTCCTGCTTCAGCCTCCCAAGTAGCTAGGACTACAGGCACCTGCCACCACGTCTGGCTAATTTTTTGTATTTTTTAGTAGAGACAGGGTTTCACCGTGTTAGCCAGGATGGTCTCGATCTCCTGACCTCGTGATCAGCCTGCCTCAGCCTCCCAAAGTGCTGAGATTATAGGCATGAGCCACCGCGCCTGGCCTTTTTTTTTTTTTTTTTTTTTGGATACGTGGTGTCTTCCTATGTTACCCAGGATGGACTCAAACTCCTGGGCTCAAAGGATCCTCCTGCCTCCTGAATAGCTGGAAATAAAGGCATGAGCCACCACGCCTGGCTTGTGGTTATTTTATTATTATTATTTTTTTGAGACGGAGTCTCGCTCTGTCACCCAGGCTGGAGTGCAGTGGTGCGATCTTAGCTCACTGCAAGCTCCGCCTCCCAGGTTCACGCCATTCTCCTGCCTCAGCCTCCTGAGTAGCTGGGACTACAAGCACCCGCCACCACGCCCGGCTGATTTTTTGTATTTTTTTTTTTTAGTAGAGACGGGGTTTCACTGTGTTAGCCAGGATGGTCTCGATCTCCTGACCTCGTGATCCGCCCGTCTCGGCCTCCCAAAGTGCTGGGATTACAGGCATGAGCCACCGCGCCCGGCCTGTGGTTATGTTTTTAAAGTGTTGTCTTTTGGAGAAACATACAAAAGCTTTACAGATGAATTGCTGTAATGTCGGGGATTTGCTTCAAAATATTCCAGGGAGCAGGTGGGGTAGAGATGAGACAGAAATGACCTTGAGTTGGTAAGTGCTGAAGCTGGATGGCAGGATGCAGGGGTTTCTTATATCTTCTCTCTACTTTTATTATTATTATTATTATTATTTTTTTTTTTTTTTTGAGACGAGTCTCCTCTGTCAGCTGGAGTGTGGCCGATCTCAGCTCACTGCAACTCCGCTCCGGTTCAGCATTCTCCTGCTCAGCTCCGATAGCTGGATACAGGCGCCCCTCGCCGCTAAGTTTTGTATTTTTAGTAGAGGGTTTCCTGTGTTAGCAGGAGGTCTCGATCTCCTACTCTATCCGCCGTCTCGCCTCCAAAGTGCTGGATAAGCTTGACACCGCCCCTTATTTTTTTTTTTTAAACAGGGTCTCACTGTCACCCAGACTGGAGTGCAATGGCAGGATCGTAGAGGAGCTAAGACTATAGGCATGCACTACTGTGCCTAGCTAGCTATTTGTTTTTTGTTTTTTGTTTTTTTTTTTGAGACAAATTCTCACTCTGTCGCCCAGGGTGGAGTGCAGTGGCGTGATAAAAGTTGGTTTTCCAGAATGACTCATTTGCCAAGAATTCTGGATAGCTGAAATTTTACTGTGCTTTGGAGGTTCCCAATAGGAGTCAGTGACTGAAGCTTTACAAATGGATTAAAATCAAAGTTGTGAAATGTTAAAGTGGCGGGCGGTGGCTCAGCTGTAATCCAGCACTTGGGGCGAGACGGGGATCGAGTTCAGGAGATCGGACATCCTGGTAACACGTAAACCGTCTCTACTAAATACAAAAAAAAAAAAAATTAGCGGGGAGTGGGGGCCTTACTCCAGCTATCGGAGGCTGAGCAGGAGAATGCATGAACCGGGAGGCGGGCTTGCAGTGAGCTGAGATCCGGCCACTGCACTCCAGCCTGGGCAACAGAGCTAGACTCCGTCTAAAAAAAAAAAAAAAAAAAAATGTTAAATGTGAAATGTTAGGACATGCTATAAGAAATCATTTCACAGGCCGGGTGCAGTGGCTTACACCTGTAATCCCAGCACTTTGGGAGGCCGAGGCAGGCGGATCACCTGAGGTCGGGAGTTCAAGACCAGCCTGACCAACACGGTGAAACCCTGTCTCTACTAAAAATACAAAATTAGCCAGGAGGCTGAGGCAGGAGAATCGATTGAACCCCTTGAATCCAGGAGGCAGAGGTTGCGGTGAGCCAAGATCGCGCCATTGCACTCTAGCCTGCGTGACAAGAGTGAAACTCTGTCTCAAAAAAAAAAAAAAGCCGAGCGCGGTGGCTTAAGCCTGTAATCCCAGCACTTTGGGAGGCCGAGACGGGCGGATCACGAGGTCAGGAGATCGAGACCATCCTGGCTAACCCGGTGAAACCCCGTCTCTACAAAAAATACAAAAAAACTAGCCGGGCGAGGTGGCAGGCGCCTATAGTCCCAGCTACTCAGGAGGCTGAGGCAGGAGAATGGCGTAAATCCGGGAGGCAGAGCTTGCAGTGAGCTGAGATCCGGCCACTGCACTCCAGCCCTGGCGACAGAGCAAGACTCCATCTCAAAAAAAAAATAAATAAATAAATAAATAATAATAATAATAATAATAATAAAAGATACTATTTTGCAACACCAAGCCTTCACCTGCCTCCATCTGCTCTTCCTGCCTTGACAGCCACGCTGGTGGATAGGTGGTCCATTCTGTCCCCGCCTCCTCACTGGATCCTCAAGCCCCTGGCTTCCCGCTGCTGTCCCCACCACTCCATGGAAAACGCCCTTACAAAGGCCTGAGCAGTGATGCCTGTTCTTTGGTCCTAGGAGACCCTTCTCAACCCAGTCTCTGCTACTTGAAATGCTGCTGACATCCACCTTTTCTCCATGACCCCTCCTGCACCCTGAGTCCCCCCAAGGCCCACCTGCTTCTCCCCCTGCCCCTGGCTGCTCCCTTCACTACTCCCTTGCCAGCTGCTCTCCGTGCCTACCTGCATAAGCCTCAGGGCTTGCTTCTCCCCAACCCCACACTCCCTGACCAAGCTGCTCCATGCCCTGACTTCAAGCACATCCCTGTGCGCACCTTCAAATCTACTTCTAGCCAGCCTCTCCTGGAAGACTTGAATGAATGTGTCTCTTTGCAGGGGATATCCCTGCTTGGATGTCTCTAAGGCCCCCAGGAATTCCAAACTGAATTCCTCTTCTCCAGCCCCTTCATCTTCCTCCAGGCCTCAGGTCTCCCAGGCGGCACCACCCCCTTACACCAGAGTGGAACTGCTCCCATATCCTTCCCTCTGCCTCATCCCCACATCTAGCCGTAGGCAGGCTCTTATATTTGTTCTTGCCATTCATACTGTGTTACCTGGTTCCTTAACCTTGTCAAGTCTTAGTTTTCTTATCTGTAAAATGGGAGCATTAATGGCATATACCTCCAAGAATTGTTTGAAAAGTAACATGGAACGTATTTAGAACAGGGCCTGGCAGACAGTGCTCAGCTCAGTAGGACAGCAGCTCCTTCATCCTCCTCTTCCCCACTACCTGCTGACTGCAGCCTCCTCACTGTCTCCCAGACTGCAGTGAGAAAGGTCTTCTAAATTGCAGATCTGGGCCGGGTGCAGTGGCTCAAGTCTGTAATCCCAGCACTTTGGGAAGGCCAAGGCGGGTGGATCACCTGAGGTAGGAGTTCCAGACCAGTCTGACTAACATGATGAAATCCCGTCTCTACTAAAAATACCAAATATGCATGATGGTGCATGCCTGTAATTCTAGCTACTTGGGAGGCTGAGGTAGGAGAATCGCTTGAACCCGGGAGGCAGAGGTTGTAGTGAGTCGAGATTGTATCATTGCACTCCAGCCTGGGCAACAAGAGTGAAACTCTGTCTCAAAATAAATAAATAAATAAATAAATAAATAAATAAATAAATAAATAAATAAAAATACAGCTCTGGGCCGGGCGCGGTGGCTCAAGCCTGTAATCCCAGCACTTTGGGAGGCCAACACGGGCGGATCACGAGGTCAGGAGATCGAGACCATCCCGGCTAACCTGGTGAAACCCCGTCTCTACTAAAAAACACAAAAAACTAGCCGGGCGAGGTGGCGGGCGCCTGTACTCCCAGCTACTCGGGAGGCTGAGGCAGGAGAATGGCCTAAACCCGGGAGGCGGAGCTTGCAGTGAGCTGAGATCCGGCCACTGCACTGCAGCCTGGGTGACAGAGCGAGACTCCGTCTCAAAAAAAAATACAGATCTGGCCATGCCACACCTCTGTCCTAAGCCCAATTGCTCCTGGCTATCTTCCCATAAAGTTGAGCGCCTCATTGGGCCTACAGAGGCAGGTGAGGTCCAGGCCCCTGCTTTGGCTTCAGCCTCGCTGGCTCCCAAGCCACACCCCTTGGCATCTGAGCCCCAGCAAGCTGGTCAGCTTGCTGTCGCACCTCACCACCTTTGGCCGGGCAGTGCCCTTCCTTTGCCAGGAAGGCCCTTGCTGTCCCTGCCTGTTCTCTGAGTGTCTGAGAAGCCTCCCTGCACTTCCCACCGCCTCTGCCCCACTGGTGGAGTGCTGGTAGCAGGTATTCCCCCACTTTTCCAGCCAGCAGACTGAGTCCTGAGAAGGCTCCCCATCAGTTCACAAGCTCCTTAAGGGTAGGATCTATGTCTTGCTCATCTGTGATGAGCCGGTGGCCAGAGCAGAGAAGGGAGAGATGAGAGAAAAGAAAGAGGAAAAAACAAGTAGAAACAGAAAGAGAGGCTGGGTGCAATGGCTCACACCTATAATCCTAGTACTTTGGGAGGCTGAGGCGGGCAGATCACTTGAGGTCAGGAGTTCGAGACCAGCCTGGCCAATACGGCAAAACCCTCTCTCTACTAAAAATACAAAAAT